TGAACACGATATCAAATGTCTATTGATGGACGTCGTATGTGCCTACCTCCACAACATCAGATGAATATGTACAGTTACATGGAAGTTGACAGTCGAGGTACAACTTATTTAGACGTGTGATGAATCAGGAGGCAACTGGAATAGGTTACTCTTACACATGAAACATACAATGTTACACACATTGGTCTTGTTACACAGTTCTGAACTATTTCGTCTTCAATATCATCTGTAAATTATAAATTAATGCTGATCGTTTCACTTATCAAGGTGATTATCTTCAAATGGTTTCATTGATCTACTGTCCCACTCTGAAAAACGTGGTGGATACTCATTTACTATAAAGGTTTCTTCCATTGAGCTCACACCATCCTCAACATTATCTTCCACACGTGTAGTGAAACACAAGCAAACAGACGTGATTGCATGTGTATAGGAAAAGAGCTAGGTGAATTAATTACTTCTCCATTCCACCTTGATTCTCGGTAGATTGATCTATTCACATATTCATTAGAATATAGAAGTGAGTAGATAAAATGAGAGTGATGGTGACAAGATAACCATTATGCTCAAAATAAAAATCATTTGTTGTCCGAAGAGCACCGAAATCCAAAGGTGAGTAATAGTAACCATAATAGTAATAATAATAGCGATGAGATATATTGTTTATGTTGTCGACAAACTCTGGGTAACCAGTACACGATTATCTGATAGATACATTTATCTTACTACACAACTTACCTGGTGAGGAATGTCTACGTAAACATCGTGTGAATATATCAATAAGAAGAAGAAGAAGAAGAAGAACAACCACAATCAAAGTATCTTACCAAAATCTCGTGTAAATAGTAATTTCGTGTAGTGAATGATATACGATTAGATAGAATGAAATCCGTTTTGTAAATGAAGAGATTCACATGATTGGATTACCTCCACATGCTTAATATAGAGACGCTTCTATTCCATTCCATAATGATATGTTTACAGAAGCATTAATATATTTTGATTTATGAATGATGAAGAGGTACATACTTATTCGAAGCAAATACTCTGACTTTTGAGTAGACTTTGGATAGTGTTGATCAAACATTACACCAGAATGATAAGAATATTGACACACAGTAGAGCTGATTGCATCAGCAATAAGTGGATAGGCCAGAGATCATCGTATACTATTTATTTTGTAATGTTAAATGATTTCGTAAACAGAATTTTACACAGGTAAACATTCTAATGTACCTTGAGGTGAATATTCTACTATAATTTGTCGAACAAAATAAACGACAGGCAATTTGTATGGAGTGCAAAATATTGCCATTTACCACTTAACATGATACTAGATACACATGAATTTGCTGATTACTGGCTGTGTAGTTTCATGTTTCAGAAAACATAGTTACTGCAAATCCATTGCTAACTGGAGACCAAACGCTTTCAGACTCTTTGACCATCAATACTGATCAGAATCGATGGATCATGTTGAAATGTGACCACTAAGCAGGGAGGCTCGACTTCCCAGTGACCCCATAACAAGATGACATCAAATTGGTCACCTGCTAGTCTCCAATCAATCTGTCTGATCCAGTATTACAGGAGACGAGTAGAGACTCGAAAACGCTCTCCCGTAACTTCACTGATTACAACAGTGAGTTACGTGGGTTAAAATCTCACAGGTGACATTAGTTCCCTCAACTTCGCAGACATATCTCACTGACACCTACAAAGAACAATATAATATACATGAAGCGTTTCCTCCTCTTTCACGTCAATCAAATAACAATGTAAATGCTTTCTGCATGCATGTCCTTTATATACATACATTTATACGTGATGCATTCCACGATCAGAGAGAAGGGAATATCTTTGTGACACGATACATCAACTCATGTTGCAGCATAGCTAGAACAACAAAGTTTGAAGGATACGATGAATTCATTGAGCACTCCATCAAACTATATAAAGTAAATCATTTCATTTCAACTTCCTTATTCTGCATCAAATATTTCATCATCTCACCAATCCAGTAACATCTGCTGATTGTGTTGTATTCTATTGTATTGTATTTCTCTTTCCATATACATCTGATGAATTGATAGCCTGAAGACAGTTGAAGAGATGACGAAATACAGTGAATTCATTGTATTCTGCAAAATTTGTTCGACTGGTTATGCTAAACGTTTTGACTGGAATCAGTTGTATGAAATGCCTGCAGTTTTGTTCAACCTTAACTTCGTAATGACCAGTATACATGGAATACATTCCTGAAGATGATCACTCTCCAATTCCTCCATTGGTAGCACTTCATATCACATCTAATCTTCTTCAAGTTGTATTTCCTGTGTACTCTGACGAATATGAATACACAAAACGGCAATCACATTTGCATATAGCTGAGAATTATTGTCACCACATATGATTTTGAGAGTGAAATCCCCTTCCACATAAATAAAAGCTTGCATATGCATATTCATTAGTACACCTGTAGCAAGTTCCATTATTTGCTTGAATTCACCTCACTTCGTTGAAGAATCCATTCTTCTTGTAGGCTCGAAATCACATCCACTCATCTGTATGTAGTGAATACACAGACGCTGGGAGTTTTGAGTGTCGAATATTAGCTATGGTCTGTTGAACACATAGCATTCACTCTATTGATTTATGGATGAGTGGGAGATGTGAAGTCAGGGTGTCAACACTTGCATACACCCACTATATAAGTAAGCCTAACACAATCCAAGCATGTTTAGAAAATCAAAACACACAGGGATTATGCTAGCTAGATTCAACTAACATATATAATGATTAAATCAGACTCGGTGGTCAACTGGTCAACTTCTTCCAGAATATTCCTTACAACTATGTATGCACTAGCATACACCAATGACCAAGCAACAAAACGTTGTGGTAGCTTGGTGTGTTGATGCAGTCATACATAAATCAGGTGACTATTTCATCTTGGTCAATCTTCTCGATTTCTACAAATCTGATCACTTGTTGTCAGTCAGTTGTAGTTGAGATTGTTATGGTGACACCGATCTGAAGCCCGACTCATTTTGCATTCTCGTCTAGCTTAGAAAACAATCGACAAAGTAAACTGTAACCAGTTGAATGTATCCTGTCTCATATTGACTGCATAGTTGACAAACAACTAATTTACTTACTGTCATGTATATATGTGATAAGTCGTTTTGAAGCTTGTGATGATTGACAAGTCCACTTCCGAAAGTGATGAAATTGACAGAAGTATAGAGTGTGATTGATAGTGAATACGTGTGGGAAACACGTTTCTCGATGTGTCTGCACCATTTTGAATCTATTGAGACACATAATTTGGAATAAAATATCTTCTTATCATCCAGCTTCCAGTGAGAATGATTATTCTGAAAGTGAATTTATCCGCTCTGATAATTCATGATAGAATGCTTCGGTGTATATTCCTTTTAATTATATTTCTTCGACAACGACCTTAGATGTTTTGACATACACAACAGTGCTTAGAAAAGATGATTGATCATCATTTTTAAACTGTATATGGGATTATTCAATGAAGGTTGTTGGGTATGAATCACATATTTTAAGTGCATGAGTATCACAGTGGGACCCTTATGGAGTTCGGTTTGATAGTAATGGCAACCTTAGACTGATCGCCGTCTTATTTACACTACTTGAAATATTTTCGGTATTATTTATCCATTTATATCCTATTCGTGTCAGATATGTGTATGTTTGGCCATGTAGCCTCAGTTTGTCAAGTCAATCAGAATGCAATAAATGTGGAGGTGTGAACCCCTGGATTATGGATATCACTTCCATCTGAAGGGATACTGGATCGAGACCAGCTTCACTTACCGAAGTTAAGGCAGCCACTTGGTATTACTTGTACTCACGTAATAGGTATAGTTCATTGCCTACTCCACCTTTGTGTACAAGACTGCTGAATGCGTTTCAATACTATTCCATTCGATGCAATCAATGGACACAATGAGAGAGTTCATAGGTAGCTTAGTCAGAAGCTTTCTGTGATTTTATAACTCAATGCCACACAGCATGAACATGTCTTCCTATTGGTTTTCATACTGACAGATAATTCAAGACAGTCACGATATTCAATAAGCATCACATTCGAAGGACTCAAAATACAACGAGAAACATGTTCAATATTCATATGATTAGAACTATCAACTAGTTGAACACCTTCCAGTATGCGGTTATATCGAAATCGCATAATTGTATATGATACAGAAGAATGGGATTCGGATAAACGTGTTAGTCAGGAAGACAAGTGAATCTTCTAGTGTTTCATGCAAACCTACCTCCACTGACACAATAAGACTTCAACGCAAAACGTGTTGCATCTACCGTGTCAAGATAACTGTTGCTTATCAAATGCCAATTAATATGCCATTCTTTTTCATTCATCGTTTGAGTGAAAAATAATTTCATATCAAGTCAAGCATCATGTTAGGTCTCATCGAGTATTGTATTCCTCCCATGACCAACTCCACTAAGGTACACCGACCTCGAATTATCTTGCAGTTTCCCTGACAATGACTTACGAATTGTTTGTTATCCCATTCTCATCTAACCCCATTCAGTTAACCTCATATGACAGTTTTATGCTGAACCTTGGTTAAAACAAGTATATATTAATGTTGGAAGACTCTTTACACCCGGTGAACGCTTAGTGATCTGTCTCCTTGTTGCATTCAATCCACCCCACTCACTCAGTGACTGTGAATGCAGACATCAAATTAGAGGCGGATTACCTTCAACCTGTTCTCTATTCACATCCTGGGTAAAGAAGAGCAGCACTTCTACAGAATTCACTTCCGATAACTATCCTCACATTACAAGTCCTCACACTGAATAACTACAATCAATTAAACGTCTTACAGTATCGTCAGTGTTAATCATTGTCACACAACATGCTCACATTTATTGAGGACACCTTAGAAGGATGATGTTGAATGAGGATTGAATAAGTAGACAGGAGAATACAGAAGTTCTTGAGTAGAAATTTATTCGTGCATCGAAACTGTTCACTTGTATGAGGAGGCTAAACAGCTTGTTAAATATGAACAGAATATCAGAAAATGTCGTAAACGTGATGAGTTTGATTCTGTTGACTTTTTGTCACTGTGAAGGCAATATTGCATGTGACTAGAAAGAGGATGAGCATAGAATGCGAGAATATTGATGCCAGACAGTAATCCGCGTCGAATAGTCGGAACTGTGGTTCTCCTAGTGTTATTTGACCGAATTCCAGTGCGATCTGAGAAATGAAGAAGTGACAAGGAAGTTGAGTTACACATAGAGAGAAATCACAAATTCATGAGAGGCATTTACATTTTATACTGGTGCATTATTGTATTATCGTTGCTTGCTGTAAATTGTGTGAATTATTCTACTGAATATGTCTGAGTTTTACTGATAGTCAGACTCCAATTTGTACACAAGTATACTGACTGACACACATGATTTGTATGATTTGCATATGAAAGATAAATTTCCACGAGTTTTCCATCACACAAACTTGCTAACTAAACAAACATCTTTCAATGTTACTTTCATTCTAGATTGAATGTGTATGAAATTGAATGGTGATGATGTGAGAAATGTGGCAGTCTAATAATTTCTTCAATAACAATAATAATAATGATAATAGTAATCATAGTAACAACAACAACAACAACAACAATAACAGTAATAATAATCGCTTCATTTCAACCAACATGTGTGATACATTATAGAGTTTTCAGCATGTAATAAATACTTCAACAAGTACACTCCACGTACAGTCGTTTTCTATTCAAGGAAAGCATTTGCTGTTTCTCATCTCTCAAGATACATTCAACTAATGGATTTCTACAAATCTCAACAAGGGAATTCACTTCAATGAAAGGATGAGCAACTTCGTTGAAAGTTTAAACCAACTGATCCCTTTGATGTTAGTGTAAACAGGCTGATGAGAAGATGAAGATTATGTGAAGCATGTGTGATGGATGTATTAGTGCTATACATTTCGAAGAATGTAATCACATATGGAGTAGTCGAAGTATTAATATGAAAATTAATGGAAAGTGTGAATGAAGTGAAGTGGAGGGATAGGAGGAATAGGAAGGGTAGATGGAAAGAAGATCTTAATCACGTTATGGATGGCAAGAGCTTCAATAAATGTGAGCACTCGACTCTGACCACTTTTATGTAGTACTTTGAAGGAGGTTTTCATCTCTATCCTATGATTAGTTTCTAGTATATGTTTAGGGCTAGACGATGATGGATGTTTGTCATGTGCACTAATCGGATCTGTTGAGGTGATTCGTTTTTGATACCAACCACTTAGGTACATGTTCAATCTTCCTTAACTACTGTATATCACGATTACTCCTACCCATCTACATGTGTCCACACTTACATGTGAATTGATAAACACAGTGGGATATGATGTGATCGTCTATATGCTGTTTTGGTTTGTGTTGTAACATGGAATTTGTCTTCTGTACAATGATCACGTTGGCTGCATAATATATTTTGCCGATGACTGATCTAATTCTTTTACTCACAACAAAGCTATGTGAATCTCGTCTAAATGGTAATGAGATGTAGACATTTTTGTTAGCAATGGAACACTGTCTACTTCTCAATGCTACATAACTGTCCCACCTATGGATAAATGTGAACGGGTAGTCATTGTGTATCAGTTTTGTCGTGAGTAAGTTGCTTTCTTCCTCCTTGGTGTCATCGGTGTATATGTGGTTTATCCTGTTGATTATATATGTTGAAAGTATCCACGAGTTGTCTGTCTCACACTTTACCTCATCGTTTTCAGTCAAGGATGAACAATTAAATTTATTTAATTGAATGAGAGGTTGAACAATGATCTTCTTGATGTGACGGCTATCCTATGTGATGTGAGGATGGTTGATGTGAAATGTGTGGTTAGCAGAGATTGTTGTTCTCCATCATGCGGATGAAGTTTATGTGATTTTGAGTGGTAGAAGAGACAAACAGTTGAATAATAGTTCTCATTTATAAACCGAGTATAGAAAATACTCATTGAATATCTAAGCTACAATTTAGATTGTTCGCTACACAATTCAGTGTGTAGGATTTGTCTGCTTAGGATTTAATTTCAATATTAGTTAAACGGGTAGTGAAACTCACAGGGATTAGTGCGACAGTCGCGGCTACACCAATAATCAGCAATTCGTATTTATTCTAGATTTGGAGAGAAAGATAAGTAGGGTTTATGAAAAGATATTGTGTTCTACAATATGCATTGGAGAAATATAAGTGGAATAGTGAGGAATACAAAAATGCGTCAGTGAGTATAACTGTGCATATCGTGTCGTCTGCATGATGTGGGTGAACAGATATGAGAAAAAAAAATCTACATCAAGGAATAAAAGTCTTTCTTTGAAACTATTGAAATGGAAAATATTTTGATATAAAATCTTAAAACATACAAAGAAACTCACCATTTTGTATTTAAGGTAGACAAGAAGGGCAATGGTTATGGTGACAGCGATAGTTACGATATAGTATATTAACCACAACACCCAATAATGGAATATATCATTACGAATGACTGCACCAACAGCTGTAGTTGCAATATAGAGTAGCAAAGCTACTCCCCACACTGCAAGATGCCACAAAATGCTGATATCAGCGAAAGGAATCCCGAACAAAGCAGATATGCAAAGAGACTGCAAAGGAGAAATAAATATATACCAATTGAATTATTGTCTCATTAGAATTCAGATATATGTAACTGCATCCCATGATATTTAGCCATTTACACTCTCACGTTTGATTTTCTCTCTCTCTACTTGTAATACAGTGTTGCAATGGTGGGTTTGAATAAGAGTGTTTTCATGCAAATCCACACTAATCCTCACTTCCATGTTCAATTACATTAGTTAGGTGATATCGTTTCAGGTGAGTCAAAGTAACTCGATTAATGTGACAATTCACTTCGATTCAAAGTATCACAATAACTTTACTCATGTCTCTTCATTGTGAAAAATTGCCTCGATATGAAGGTGATGGAGAAAGAAGCATATTCTTCCGATGTGATATATGTGAGAAGAGTATCGTGGAAGGCATTTGTCCATCTAATCCTTACTCCTACTACAATAATTTATCAGAATGTATAATGAATAACACCCTTCTTCCTTCTTCGCTTCCATGAAGATACATGGATAGTCATTCTCAATGTATCCGTACACAAAACTGATTGTGTGTGTGTGTGTGAATGATCTGGGGAGTTGAACAATATACAAGTGGATTTGTTACTTGTTCACCTTTCTCCTCACACATATCACTGACAAGTAAGTATTCAGGAAGTTGTTGTAATAAGCACTCGAAATCCACCAAATCGTTTCCACCTCATTCTCTCTACTACTATACTAATGAAACAATTATTGAAGAAAATGAAGTGTGAAATAATTATAGATGGTGATTATTGATTGGGATAAATGGATATTGTGTGGTCTGTGGTGTGATTTCTCGAGTGAGTTTCGAGGAGGGGGAGGAAGAGGAGGAGTAGGAGTAGGAGGAGGAGGAGGAGGAGGAGTGAAGTTAAGCATAAATAATATGAGAAACAATTTACTCATGTCTTACATGTAACATTGTCAGGAGTAAATTTGTTGGAAACCTTCGTGTTAACTTCAATATTGTAAGCAGCGAAATGGTAACTATTTCGAGTACAATGCTGAAACTTGACAATAAGGAGTGAAATAACAGATGAATATGTGAAGTGATATAGTAGATAAAGAATATACAAACTTCTTGTTAGTGAATGAATCAAATTAATCTGCAAGTAATCTGATTGTTGATGTAAGGATGAAGAAATCCATTGGCAATATTGATGATCACGTATTTACCAGTGAACTACTTTACAATACACTTACCCTAATATAACTGTAAGTAAAATGGTTTTCCATTCACGTTTCTTTTCGTGTCTACAACAAAACAACTCGTGATTATGATTAACATACAGTAAGTATAGACTGGGTGTTACGATTGCTGTAATGCCCGTTTCACCAACAAGAAAAACTATAACCTGAAATCTGTAGGCATTTCATATAACTGACACATACCCTCTTCGTATATTTATCAATTTCTTGAAGAGTTCGTCGAGAAGATTTCAATTCCATCATCACATTCATGCTGCTAGTCATCTTCATTGACGAGTCTGCTATCAAACAAGATGGATTGCATGAGATTGTCAAAAAAGGAAGAATAATGAAATAGATATGTGTAGAATGAATGTGATTATGACAGTTGATGTGCAGCATTATGAAGAAATGAAAACAAAAATGATATTTCATTAGTTTACATTTCATACACCTACAAACATCTTTCATCATTATTCCAATTCAGGAATATTTCACTAGACTTTTATTCAGATAGGCATTGTGAAATGCGTGAACTGACGACTGTACGCACACTGATCTGATTGAATTGAGGATGAGAGAGTGATGAGGTGGCTAGTGTAGACATGAGTTTTGTAGGTGAGATATAAATAGTATCTCTCTTCTTCACTTATATCATGCATGAAGTATGTTCATTATATGAGCATGGTAAGTCATTGATTCGATCTTTGCGAGTAACCATTTTATCAAATTGTCTTGTAATTGAGTTGGTAGTGGATGTCAGTGGAATCTGGCACTCGCGTTGCGTTTATTTAGCAGTTGTCGTCAGATGGATACATCTTCACACTAGTGAGTGATGTTGTCCCCCCTGAAACTCGAAGACAGTATGCATCACTTCAAATACCAAATGATAATTATAATAGTGTCTCGTAATTATTCTAAATATTCTGTGATTTGAAGTGTTAAATAAAACGTGACATTCAACTGTTTATACTGACTCACCAACCGGCTGCCTGACTGACTGAGTGTCGTGAAAGTCTAATTTTGATAATGATTAAACTTACTACACATTTACATGAAGAGGCAGGTGAGTTTTGTGATTGAAGTGACTGCCAACTGAAATCTAGTCAGCTGATGGATACATTCATATCAGTTAATGTGGTATTTATAGAATGTTCTGTCTTCATTTGATTGGTGTATAGAACTGAGCACATGATGATGTACGATTATTGTTTGGATGATGTGTACACTGGACAAATACATCTGTGTGTGTGTTTTTGTTTGTGTGTGAGTGGAAAACGTTTGTTGAGATATAACGGACAAAGAAATTAGATACGAAATTCCATCGAGTGATCAAACTGTTGATCAAGTTCAACAATTCTTTACAGTATCGTATATTGTAGAGATGTAGAGGGAAAACAGGAATATTATTGTAACTCATAGCGTAGTAAAAGTTGCCGGATGGTTATGAATCATGCTAAAGTAAGACATTTGGAAGAAACTTACTGTTTTGTATCAATTTAATATTTTCTTTGTTTATATGACAGTCTCTCCTGTTCATGCCAGTAACAACAGTCAAAAACGGTGGTCTACTGTACTTGCAGTATATTTTGGCCAAGTTGGATGGAAGTCATAGGCATTGTTGGGACCTCCGATTACAGAAAGCACAGTATTTTATACAAAAACTGAGACATAGCAGTCAAATTCAATATGAGATTAAGATTACTGTACATAACACGAAGGTTGTTTGTTGTTCCAAGTTACAATGATGTCTAGCTGATGAGAGATGATGACAACAAAAGTCAGTCTCAAACATTCTGATAGCCTCATTTTATCGATAAATTAATGAGAAATACAGAATATATATCAATATATTCAGCTACTTCTATCATTGTCATAAACAAAGCGAAAATGGATGAAACTCAGACAGCATAGAAGAAATTACTATTTGGTTGTGGTATGTCATCAGTGACTAGGCAATGTAAGTTCATGTCGAGCATATCAAGCTTCAATTGCGCACAACATTCTGCATCATTTGGTTATTTTCTTAATGAACTCCATGAAACCGAATGTTTCAAATAACTAAGTTATGCGGATCATATATTATTATTATTATTAGTCCCTTGGGTTCCTAGTGGAACACAGGGCTTCAGTAGCACGTCTCCATTCCACTCTCTTCTCTGCAATCTTTTCAACCTGGCTCCACGACAGCCTACAAGTCCTCATTTCCTCCTCGCACGATCTCCTCCATGTCACCCTCGCCCCGAACGCCCAACTCGTAGCTTCTCATCAGGGTTCCACTCGAGCAACTGGCCTGGTGCGTGATGTCCCCAGTCGGTCTTCTCAGTGTATGCCCAATACATCTCCACTTCCTTCCTGCATATTTATTGGGCGGTAGGTTCTTGGTTGGTTCGTTCCCACAGTTCCTTGTTGCTTATTCTCATTATTCTGGTCATCTGGTCTTCAGTAACGAGCCAGCGTAGGCAGTTGTTGATGAATGTCTGTAGTTTGTTGGAAATCACTTTCGTAGCGCGCCAAGTCTCTGAACCATACAGAAGCACTGACTTGACTGGGTTGGTGTTCAAAATCCGGACGTTGTTCACGCTTTATGCTGAGTGCAGAAGATCTCCACACTGGTTTCAGATTAATAAACACCTGTCTTGCTTTTCCTATTCTGACTTTGACATCTTCGTCTGTGCCATCACCGCCTGTAGTTGAAACAGTGTTTCCTAGATAGGTGAAGGAGGTTACTTCCTTTAAGTTTCACCCGTTGATGGTGACTGGAGTTTGTTGTTGTTGTTGGAGTTGTTGGTGCGGCGACTTCATCACCTCTATCTTCTCTACATTCACTTGATGTCCCGTCTTCGCTACCGGCTCCTCTGCCAACTTGTTAGTTTTCGCCTGTAGATCTTCACGTTTGTGTGACATCAGACACAAGTCATCTGGCGAAATCCAGATCTTCTAGGTTCTTTTCCGCAGTCCAGCCTGTATCCCCCTCATCTCGCTCCCCACCGTTTGCTGCATAATCCAGTCGACCACAATCAGGAATATCATGGGGGATAGTAGGCAACCTTGTTTCACTCCTGTCTTCACTTCAAAAGCATCACTGAGCTTCCCATTGTGAATTACTTGGCATGTGGCGTCTTCATATAGCTGTTGAATGAGGCTGATAAAGGTTTGTGGTATTCCGTAGTATTAAAGCAGTTTCCAAATTACCTCTCGGTTGACGCTGTCAAAGGCCTTCTCAAAGTCGATCAAGTTGAGGCAGAGAGTTGACTGCCATTCTAAACTCTGTTCTATGATGATGCGAAGCATTGCAATTTGGTCCGCAGAGGATTTGTAATTCCTGAAGCCTGCCTGCCTGTTCCAGTCGTAGTTTTGAATCCAGTGCATCCTTTAGCCTCTCCAGAATGATGCGGCTTAATATTTTTCTTGCTTTGGTTGGACAGGAGGGTGATTCCATGCCAGTTCTTGCAAACACTGAGGTCTCCTTTCTTCGGCAGTTTGACAAGGTAACCCTTCTTCCAATCGATCAGCAGGTACCTACTCTTCCTTCAACACCTTCTGCAATAGTGGTGTGGTGTGAGCATATCCGCTGTTGTCTCTGCGTCTGTTCTCAGTGTTTCTGGCTGGATTTCATCTAGTCCTTCTGCTTTCCCACATTTCAGCAGCTTCATGGCTTTCAGGATTTCGACTTTTGTTGGAGGATTTATGTTCACCTGTAGTTCAGCGGTTGTAGGTGGTATTTCTGGACGAAGTGCAAGTGGTAATACTGGTCGATTCAAGGGCTTCTTGAAGTGGTCGGCCCATCTTTCCCTTTGTTTCTCTTCTTTCGTAATTAAATTTCCTTCTTCATCTTTTATTGGTTTCATATCTGTTGATCTCTTCCCTGATAGCAACCTGGTTATTTGATACAATGTCGTCAGGACTCTCTTACCTGCAGCCTGTTCTGTTTCACTTGCCAGTGTTTCGTAGAAGTGTCTTTTGTCTTCCCATGCACTCTTTTTCACTTCTTTGTCCCGTGAAGTGTTTTATACATTGTGCTCAGTTCCTCTTGTCGTTGAGCATCCTTGCACTGGTTCATCTTCTGCTTCACCATCCTCCTCTCCCTGCTCTATCAGCTTCCATGTATCCATTGAGATCCATTCCTTGTCTTCTTTCTTCTTCCTTCCTAATACGGCTGTGCAGGTTTCTTTCCACATCTCTTTCAAAGACTCCCAGTGTTCTTCCACACAGCTTTCTTCAGGGATGTTCCTCGATACCTCCCACTTTGTCTTGATGGCTGCCTTGAAGATTTCCCTTGTAGTTTCATCCTTCAGTTTCCGAGTGTTGTACTTGAACTGTGGTCTATCACCAGCTTCCTTGAAGGCTTTCAACTTGATTTGGAAGGTTCCTTGCACTAGACAGTGAGTGGTCTGAACCTACATCTGATCCCCTTCTTGACCTTGTGTCAAGTAGACTGCATCTCCATTTTCTTGAGATTGAGATAAAGTCGATCTGATTTTTAGTGTGTCCTGGTGTCTGGTGAAATCAACTCCATATCGCTTTGTGGATATCTTTGTGCTTGAACACACTGCCTCACTTCCAATCACCAAATCGTTGAACGCACAGAATTCTGCAAACAATTCTCCATTCTCGTTCATCACCTCACTTAGTGCCTCTCGACCCATGGTTAGTTCTCTTCCTGTGTTGTCTGCTCCCAGTTTGGCATTCAGGTCACCCCACACATTAGAATTTCGATGTCGCCAACTGAGGTCTTGTCGAGTGTTGATTGAAGTTGTCTGCAGGATTCCTCCTTTTTCTCTTGCTCTGCATTATTTGTAGGTGCACAGCGTAGCATTATATGATTGTGACCTTCCTTCCTTCCTTTTGAGTTGAACCTTATTGTCATGATCCTGCATGAGGAGACTGGTCTCCACTGCATGAGAGCCTTCGATGCTCTTCAAGGGGACATCATGATAGCTACTCCAAAACTCAGTGTGCTTGTGGTTGTCGTCTGGGTGACAATATCAGAGTAGATTATTGATTCTCCAGTTGACAGTTTGGAGAGTCCACTCCCATTCCATCTGCCTTCGCAAATTCCAAGCACTTCACTGTGATACCTCTTCATCTCGTTTGCAATCTGGGCTCCCTAGCTGGGTTCAAACATCGTGCAGACATTCCATGTCCCCACGCTTACTTTCACTTTCATCGAGAGAAGAGGATACATCGGCCAATTGGCTTCCCGAAGTCAGGCTTTCACCAACTGGCGTCATCTCGCCTCTCCGATTCCAGTGAGGAATAATTTTGTTATTATTTTTTATATTTCGTTTGTGCTTTGAAGTTTGTTTAGCGGTTAGATTTGTTTTCCGGGTAGGGTTGCTAGCCCTATGCCCAACCTTCCCTATTTACCCGGGCTTAGGACCGGCTAGTAACTAGTGAACTAGTTAACCAGGAGAGGTTATGCGGATCATATAAGCTTAGGAAATTCATCATCACCTCTACAAAGTGTTAGTGGATAGAGTACTAACCCTTAAGTATTTTGTCAGTTTGCGTGTATATTTAGTCGTTCTAGCTATTGCATGTTATTTGCTTCAATGTTTATCAAAACGACAGACAAATCTAGGCAGTAAGTAGCGAAAAATACTATTACTGATACTACTCAGTCTGATGTGTAGTATTTTGCCAGCCCGATCAGTGTGATCTATACACTGCACAACCATTTTACTCGTTTCAGGTGAAGCTCAACAACGATGTATTCATGCTAACCTAGAATATAGGGCAGAATCAGCTTCGATCATGTGAATCTAGCTAGCTGACTTGTATGAACTGGTATATCTAAAATAGAATGAGAGATTTGCAAGTGATCCATAAATCACACTGTCCACGTTGATATTCTATTATCTGAGTAGTTTTCCAACTGGACAAAAGTATCACGACCTAGTGAAAGATACCACTACTCCAGTTGTTTAGTGGTAGTATCTTTTCCGATTTCATGACACTTCTGTGTCAGAGATCACAACATATGATCTCAGCATAAACCCTGTCAACAACAGAGTTGGTCAGTTGAAAAAGTACTCAGCTCTTAGAAATGTCAGCGTGGATTATACAACTTGTAAATTATTAGCAAATTGATT